CACATGTGACATCTGTGGCTAAGATGTTCTCGTACATTTGGTATCACAGAATCAGAGAATGGTTTGGGTTGGAAGGGACCTCAAGGCCCACCCAGTCCCAACCCCTGCCATGGTTGCCCAAAGCCCCATCCAGCCTGGCCCTGAACACCTCCAGGGATGGAGCACCCACAGCTTCTCTGGGCAGCCAGTGCCAGTGCCTCACCACCCTCATGACAAGAATTCCTTCCTAATCTAAACCTACCCTCTTTTAGTTTAAAACAATTAAGCCTTGTCCTATCACTTTTATTAGTGATTTATTATCCCAGTTAAAAGTCTCTCTTCATCTTTCTTATAAGCCCCCTTTAAGTTTTGAAAGACCACAATGAGGTCTCCCCAGAGCCTTCTCTAGGCTAAGGAACCCCAGCTCTCTCAGGCTTTCTTCATAGGAGAGGTGCTCCAGCCCTCTCATCATCTTTGTGGCTCTCTTCTGGACCCGCTTTATCAGGTTCATGTATTTCTTGTGCTGGGAGCCCCAGAGATGGATGGTAACATAACATTTAACTGCCTTCCTTTGCATTTTTGCAATTAACTTGTAATACTAAAGCAGTTTCCATTTCTGGATTCCTCAGCAAGATGATTGAAAGGCAGTTTAATTGCACAGCTTTGCCAAGAAACTTGTTAGGTGATTGTTGGCTGTAGTAAGAGTTAATGCGGAGGTAATAGGAGATATCACAGGGACTAAGATCTTGCTGGCCATTAGCAGAGGTGATTTCAAAAAGCGAATGATAATTAGTATAGGTTTCACTGAACTAAGTTTCCATCTGCTGCTAGTCGCTGGATCTTGAGCTGCTCTCCTTTGCTCTCCTATTAAAGATTTGCATGTATTTTCCTGGATTCTCGATGAAAAGAACACTTAAGGGGAAAGGGTATAAATCAACAAATAACAATGTAACCTGGAGAAATATAAATCTATGTAGATTAATCCATGTTTCCTAAATTGCATACTGGATTGTAATTCAATCAAAGGGTTGGGGTCTTGTGACGTTTATGAACATTTATGGATAGTACGAGCGCTCAGATTAAATGTCAAACCTGGTATTCAGTTTAGAATCACGTATTATTGTTGTTCATTAATATATAAAAACAACAATTATATCCACTAAAATCCTCAATTTAATTTTGCTGTAATCTGTCTCTGCTATGTCAGAGACATGTCTCTGCTATGTCACTGTAGCCTCTCTGCCCCCTCAGATCATTTACAGAGCTCTGCTGAATTTCAGCTGAAACAGCCTCCTGTTTTACCATTTTTCCCATCATGGCAGTGGCTCAGTTTGGCCTCCTTTGAACTGAGGGATTCTCTAGTAAATTATTGTCTTCATCTTCTGCTAGGATTAAATTCTAGTTTATATACAGAGCAGGTGCAGTGCATCCAGAAGAAAGGGGTATGGCAATACTCTACATCTCAGATTCAATACCCTGAGTAGGTGTCATATAAATCTGTGCCCTTTGCTGGTTCCTTGTTGGTAAAGGCTGAAAAAGTTTTGAGAGACGAGCAGTCGGGTTGGGATTATCTGAATCTGTTACCACTCTTCCCTGTTTAAGGTAGTTCATAACCTGCCTCCTTTTTGCCAGCAAAGGGGTTGAATGAAAATCATTTCTCATCTTGGTAATGCAATACATCTGAAAGAACCTAAATCACTTTGCACAAATGAAGCAGAATCTCTGTCCTGATTTACCACTAAGAAGAAGGCACTCAAAGCAGGTTAACTCAAGCCACTTAGTGAATAAATTGTTAGAAGCAACTAAATGCCAATTGCAAAAATGCCTTTGGCACCTCAGATGTTAATTTAATTGAAAGTAATTGCTACGTAAGTTAACACAGGTAAAACATTCTGAAGTCCCCAGGTGGTTTACAGCCAAAATTTTACTAACTTCCAATACATTTTGATGTGAATGCCTAAGTCACCTTTGAAAATTGTATTTAGACTCATAAATCTATTACCCACATACATAAAGTAGCTCAGATGACTGGATTTCACTATCTTAACTCCCCGTAAGTAGAAATCATTGAACATTTAGAAGCCTAATTCTTATTAAAATCATGGGGAGATAGATTCCTAAATATCCTTAATGTTTAGGCCTTACTTGTCTCTTAGTCTTTGTGATTTAAATGGAATTTATTCACATGGCAAAGAAAGAGAAAGTGGGCTGAATCTGGCCACAATGACACAAGGGCAGATTTAAGATTAGCCCCTGGCTATCCTGTCTGATGGCCAAAACAGCTTCCAAGTAATAATGATTAATTAACACTGGGAAATGAATATGAAAAAGATCAGTGGATTCCTTTTCTCCACCCCACCAGATAGAGCAATACTGGGTGGGAAACAAATGGCATAAGTAGAGAAGGGTAATTATTCTGCTTATAACTTGGAGGACTGAGAAAAATGGTCAGCTTTCTTAGACTTCATTTTTTATCTATCATGTAATAGTATATCTTGAAGAAATCTACTGTGTTAATATAGTGTAATTAGGTTATGTCCATCTCTAGTGACAAAGAGTGCCATATGATGAAAAGTTTCACCCCCGTTCTGCTCATGGCTTCAACCGAGTCTACACAATGCTGTGAGAACAGAACTTGGCCCACTTCTCTCCAGCATACGTGTGCTGCAGTTATCTAACCTGGAATGAATCATAGTTTCCTCAGACACATCTTGTTTTCCAAATACTTACAGGGAAAGTTTTGTTTTTATGTATTTTCTTTTGAACAAAACTTGTAATCAAGTGTCCGGACCAATTGCGATCATTTAAAAAATTATGGTCTTTCAGTTCTGACGATTTGCCAGCTTCTAGTTTGCAGCTTCTAGTATATTCCTCCTGTCTAAAATTACCCTACAGTTTTAATTAGGTATGACAGTCTTGTTCATTCCTTACAGCAAATTCTATGGTAATGCTGGTGTAAGTCATTACTCAGCACCTCCAGAGTCTCAGACCATAATTTGTAGAATTCTTTGGCATCCATGTCATCAAAGTTGCTTGACGCTTTCCCTTAAGAGAACTTGTTTTATATTGCTTATAACACAGCCAAACTCTAACCACTAGGCTAAAATTTTCCATTCTGTGTTTTTTTTCCCATGCTGGATGCCTCCTACTTTTTTTTTTCTTGTCTTTTTTTTTTTCTTGTCTTTTTTTTTTTTTTTTTTTTTTTTTTTAAGCTCTGGGGCTCCAAGACACATTCTTTGGCTCAGACTTTTTGTCTCAGGTTCTGTTATGGTGCAGCTCAGTGTCCCAGCTGCCCCAAACCCTAAAAAAGTACTTCCCAAATAGCAGCCATAGCAGTCCTTTGCATACAGTCTATTCCAGATGTGTCTGTGAGCCTCATGTTTAGGAGCCATCTAAAATGCAAATAAGGGATACATGCTTAGCAAAGGATGTTTTTTTCTACCCAAACTTCGCTGTTAAAGTTTATCAGTTACGGATTCTTGAAAATAACATAAATAGTGACCTGTTCTCTACCAGCCTGATCTTGACCATCTCATATCTTGGGACACTTCAGCTCTTCAGTCTGGACAGAATCCATCCTGTCATCTGTCTCATTCAAATGTTTCTTAAATGTGGGAGTAATCAGTTTCCTCTCTTCTTTAAAGAGAAATGTTGCAGCTAAATAGCGCCTCTCAGGATAGTCTATCCAACAAATGCTATAAGTATCTTGTTTGCTGACCTGCAGTTTTGATGATTCTCTCTGCTCTTTGTGTATTTCTTCTACCTTCCTGGGTAGATGACCAAACACTAGATAAGCATTCATGCTTTCTCTCATACTCTCCTCTACCAAGCCCAAAATTCCTACAAATAATAGCTATAACTCCAAATAAATTTTCTACCTGCCTTCCTTCTTTCTCTCCTGTGACAGCTCCTCATTTTCCTTCGCTATCTCAACTTAGGTTTGTACTTCTGTGAATATTTTTAATTGCTTTGAGTAATGAGCTAATCTCTCCCCGTACCTGGACAGGAAACAGTAGATGAGAGCCATGGCTTGAATTAAGTACTAGAGAGCACCGTATGGATCCCGGGGATGTTATGCACCGTGCTTCTGGTCCCCAGACCAGCAATCTTTCAGAGAACACTGTCTGGTCTGACTGCCTGAATTTATTTCAGCTTGATGAAGGAAAGGCAGGACAGGACTGATTTGTAGCATAAAACACTTTGGGGGCATCTGCCTTTGTTTTCGTTGTCAAATAGGCGTGTATCTTCTTCTTACAATTCAGAGTTTTAATTCATTTTGTCTATTCCTTAATCCTATGTTAATACGTTTTGCACAATGTGTTGGCCATATAGCTTAGTATTCCTTAGTAGACTTGAGAAACCAGACCTTTAGTCTACCAAAAGTTTGTAATCCTTTAGCCTTTCCGCTTTGATACATCCGTTTGTTGTGTTGGTTTTTTCTTAGGAGTCTCTGGGTAACAAATCTGTCAAGTCCAAAAGATACTGTGTTGACAGAAGGAACTAAGACAACACAATTTTTCTGTGCAGCTATCAGCTGTAATGTAAGCATCCTCAGCCCTAATAATATGCCTAACCCCTCTTCTGTGAAGGTCAGGATCAAGAAGGCGAGTTCTGTTTCAGAGGCCTATATCATCTGGCACGGCTGCTAAGAAGGATGCCATTCAAATCTGGCAGTGTTTTTGTGATAAGAGCATTTGTCCATAGGAGCCACAAGCCTATTTCATGGAGACTGTTGAACAGCCACCAGAGGATATTTAGTCTCTGCTGGCTTGAAATTATCACAGGACTGAAATGCTCCTCAGCCATTAACAGCTTTCTCAGCTATATAGTTTTGGGGTCAGGTAATTTCAAAACTTCCAAAATGTATACATTTTGTGAATTTTAAGCACTTTTTTTCTCTCCTGTGGGAACTGCTACCATCTGTGAGTCTCCTCGATCCCTTTTTTATCTTGATATCATTTAGAGTGTTTATTATCACTTAAATTCATAATTTCTTCTTTTTTTCTCCCTTTTCGTTACAGATCACTCACAATCAGTTTGTGGCCTTCCTCCGAAGGAACCTCTCCTGTCTCTTCTGTAAGTATTTGTTACCAAACATTTTATACTTTTCATTAATATGAGTTACATATTTTGTTCAAGTTCCATTTAGGGCAGTAGAGAGCCTTTGTGAACGTCTCTGTTACTGGCCACAAGAGTCAATATCGAGTTGTTATACTGGTGCAGCAGTCCAGAATTATAATGCAGCATCAGCTTATGGGACTCAGGCTTAGTTCAGTGACATTGTGTGATCAATTGATCTGGAATTAATATGTGCATTTCTGGAGGACTCCTGTTAAATCTGGGGACATATTTGATGTGATGGGTATTGTGTGGTTGAGCTCTGAGAATAAAGCGTGTCGTATTCCGTGCTGTGCAAGAGTTAAACAAGTGTAGGAATCAGTCAACTAGCATTTCAGCCCATCCCTGCTGATACCTGCCCTCATGGCATGGAACCCTTCCTTACCCCAGTCCTTTCCAACCTAATACCAACCTGCTCTTCTTATCTGGGTAAATTAAATACGCTGTATTCACCTTGACACCTAACAATATCAGAACTAAAAACCTGTTAGTGGTTTCTTTGGAAAATATTAGGTAGGGTTCTGTTTTTGCCTGTTCTCCTTCACTTGCGTTTGGCTGCTGCTATGTAAGTTATCAGTGCAGTGACTTTTTTCATTGGAGAAAATACAACATAAATCCAGATAATTGTGTTCTTAAGAACTGGAACAGGAAGATTTAAAAAAAATAATCATTTGAGTTTTGCTTTTTCTTTTTTGGGGGCACGGGGAATGAAACTTAGGGAGAATTTGTTTGTTTTCTTTTAGTTTTTAATCTTGCCAGGCTCTAATCTGTGATGGTTTTGTGTATTTAGAACAAAACTTTACATTTTGCATTGAGTTTTTAATACATATTGGCAGTGAAATCTACTGTTTTGTAACAATGAAGCTTTTTGTTGTGATATAAAGGGAAATATAGAACTACCACATCATAATATTTACTAAAGTAAAGATAGACCAAAGTTTTCCAAATGTCCACCAGCATTTTAAGCCACTGTTTTGGGGTGTTCAAGCTGGAGCTATTGCCAAAAATAATGAGGACTTCTAAATTTATGTTTAGAACTCCATGTCCAAATCTGTCTGGACTTTGTGTTACTTCAGATCTCCATTTTGCAATTTAAATTCGTGTCTACTACATGTTCAGAGAGGAAAGTAGATGGCTGTTAAAGTGCTGCTTGGAATTAAAATTTAAAAAAAAAAAAAGGCATAACACAGTAAGAAAAAATAGCATTTTTATATTTGGGAGAGAAATTAAACTGCAACTTTTAGTTCAAGTTGAGTTCTGATTGTTGGAATTTCTTCAAAGGCATGCTGAAGTGCAAAGAGACATTCAGAATTTTTTCAGGTGCATGCTGAAACAAAGAGCTTTCTTTTGCTGATGGCAGAGCTAAAATATGTGACTTTAACATTTAAAGTTGACTCGGTACTTTTGCTATGCAGAAAGAAATGGCAGACTTGCTTCTCCCCCGCCCTATGGGCAAAAACATGAGATATGCTGCAGTGACTGCCAAAGGTGATATGACAATGCCAACTACCAAGGAGACGTATTTGAGCTGACCTCTCATGCCAGTGATCTCCCCATATTTCTTTCCATTCCCCTTTTCCTTTCATTATAAGGTGTCCCAAATCTGTAATTTACAACGTGCTGTTCCCGTTTTCCTCTGATATATTTGCTACAAATAAGTAGGAGTCTATGCGCGTGCATAGCTCCCCGTGGCAGTGTCAGGCCTGTGAGACGAGGGGAGCAGAGGCCCCCACAGAATACAACATGGCTTACGTCTAATGTGACATTTATTTGACTCAGAAAGGCAATTGATTAAAGTCCCATCAGACCTTTGCCATCATGTATTATGTATTTATCCAGCAGGGGCGGTTCATAACGGTCCCTGACAAATCCTATTATTTTTGTTGCAGAACTTCATGGTATCGATAAAAAGTGTTAATGATACTCAGGGACTCGACAGGCACACCTCTTCTGTGAACACTTCCTGCAGCAGCGGTGCAGCCGTTTATTTCTGTGGCAGAGACTGCATGCCATCAACATTTGTACAAACTCACCAGTTTATTCCTGCTCAGCTTTGGCAGCGTCAGGTAGCAGTGTGCAAGGCAGTTTTGATGGAAGCAACAAGCTAGCTTCATGTTGGATAGGCACGTGGAAACCCAGAGCCGAAATCCCTCTCTGACAGTGCTTTGCTGTGTGACCATGAAGATGTCGTTTCCCTTTGTTTCTTGACCTGTAAGGCTCGAGTCACACACTTTCTTGCTTCTTTAAGTCAGGCTTATTCTATAGCTGAGGGCTTCTTTGTGCTCCTCCATTCCCATCTCAGCCAGCTCCACAGGAGCCTCATGTTATTTCAGGCATGTGTGTAAAGTTTGTATTGCTTGTACTGGCTCTCCTTTCTCTCTGTAAGGTAGGTCCTTCAGGCCACTGATCTTTTAAGTTCTTTTGGGTAACAGAAGAGAAAAAAAAAAGTAGAATTGGGACATTTTCACGTTAGAAGCTGTTAATGGTACCTGTCAATCTATAGATAATACTTGATTTGTTCTGCCCTCTGCCTCAGTACCCACTGCTGGGCTTTCTTCTCCCATCCCTACCCACAGCTTGCTGATGATTCAGAGTCTTCCTCCTCCTCCCGCAGGTTATGTACATGTCTGTCTGTCTATATGTCATCTGGTTTTTGAAGGTGGAGGGATTTCATGTATCTCTCCCCCAAGCAGTATTCCCACTTAAGAGGAATGCAATTAATCTCTGCTCCACTTGAATGTCTTCAGGAGTTTTGAGAGAAGCAGGTGGATTCTTTGTCAAAAATAGACCTTTTCATGGAAGAAAGTCTTCTTACTAGTCTTGAGCCTTTCTATCATATTGTCAACACCATGTAACAGTATTGACAATACTAAGGTGCTTTGCAGTAAGATAGGCATGTACTGTAGGATAAGTAGCTGCAGTAGGATGCTCTTTTTACTTCCAGAGCACTACCCATTCAGGTGGAACTCACACAATATTGAAGGATTACCTGCTGCTATCTTTGGGTAAATACAAAGCAAAAATGCCCCAAAGTGATCCAGATACAAAGAAGTTGCATGTTGTGTTAACCTGATTCCATGGACATCTGTTCATTTCCTTGATCTAACTGGGGTGTACTGAACTCCAGCATCATTCTGATTAGATTCTGCACTGATCCTGATCCTTGTGCTTTGACATCCTCTTTAAAAAAAAAAAAAAAGTGTCATTTATTCCTCAGCTTCATGAAGATATACTTGGTCAAGTAATGATGACCTAAGGGAAGATGAGCAGCATCTTACTGATCTCATCATAGTTATGAGAACCATCCATCATATGATCAGTGATTCGTGTGTCAAAAGACACCCAGCAATGTTCCAGGCTGCCAGTTGCCAGTTTCTGAGAGTACGTATTCACTTTATCAGACATGATGATGCTCAAATAGCCTTTGATATCTCTCTCTGTACGTGTTCTTGCTGTTGGTACTTGTTCACCAGCAAACTGTCATCTGGTAGCAATCCAAACCATCATCGTGAAATATCTACGAATAGCAGCATCTGAACCTCTTTACTTAGTTAGTGTGCTTCATATTATTTTGCAGATGAGGAACTTGAGAATAACAACTATGATTGCTACATCAGGAACAGGGAGGAGGCATCTTTTCTATTCTCAGGTTTCTTAAGAAATTCTCCGTTACTTCAAAGGAGGATAATAACCTCCAGATCAAGCTTATTAATGAATCAAAAATGAACATTTGCAAAATGACAAAAAAAAAAAAGTCTAGATGTACTAATTCTTGTATTTACAACAGCTTTTGAGAGCTGTTTTCATTTTTCAAGAATTAGCAAATTTAGTGTAATAAATTGACATACAAATTATCCATAAGAATCAGTTTATCCACTTACAAGAGTAAGGAGTTGGTTCAAAGGGAATTGTCACCTACACAGCAATTTAAGACAGGAAAAGGACAGTATTTTCCCAGCTATTGTATGTCTCCTGAAGAAAAGGAATTCTCCATAAAAAGCAAAAAAAACATGGGCAGAGACCCTCTATTTGGTGTGTGCAAATTAGAGAAATGGTAAAACAAGACTGGAAACAGAAGTGGAGTAGAAATTATATTCTGAAGTGCTTATAGAAATCAAACTGTATAACTGAGAATCCACCCCTGCATGAATATTCTTAAATAATTGCCAGGACTTCAAACTTAATTCTGTGTCTGAAGACATAACCATCAAATGGACTTAAGCAATAGACTTGCATGAAAAAAAAATTATCTTCTTTAAAACAACTCTGATGAAGTTTGAAGTTCATGGTTTTGTTTGTTTGCTTGTTTGTTTGTTCTAAAACATTTTTAATAAAAACAGACCAAATATCCAGAAAACCAGAGAAGTAGCCGGGGGAAAAAAGGCCACATCTGATACCAGTTTTTCATTCAAGCATTAGTTTCACTGTTAATACTCAAATTATTTAACAAATAATAATGGCTACCCGCAGCTGTGAAGTTGATGTGAGGATTATGACAGAGGCATGTAAGTGACCTGCTTAGGCTTGTAATACCTACAAAATATCCACAGAGGTTGAATGAGGTTGAATTTGAGACTGGCCAGCATGACAGCTGGAAATATCACGCCTTTCTGCCATTATGCTTATTGGAGATTCTTTTGTTCTGGTTATTTTTCATCAAATTAGTGTAATATAATATATTGAGTGTTAGCTTTCTTTGAAATGTAACAGGTTACAGCAGGAAAATTGGACATTATACTAGAAAATTCTGGAAGTATAGTATCTAGATTTAGCTAAGGAAAAAAAAAAAAAAAGGAAGAAAAGGACAAAGAAAATGCAATCATCCATTGCACCTTTTTTTTTGTCTTACTCCACACTGGCATAATTCAGTATATTTGGATAGAAAAGACCACCTTGCTGAGGCAGTAGCAGCATTGCCTACAGCAGTTTGAACAACATCAACCACATCAACCATCCAA